ATATATATTTATATATATAAAAAAATAAGTGCATGCATGATGTGAAGTTGCAGCTGGTAAATTTCTTCAAAGCAGAGGTTTTGATGGCCACACGTCCATTCAGTTTTCAGCTTTCTGCACAGAGCTAGACCTCGAGAAACAAAAATATCCCAGAACAAGAGAGTGGCAGGATAATGTCAGATGACGAGGTTAGTCATGTTTTCCAGTCTAGCAGTCTTTTGCTCATTTACGGAAAACGCTCCTACAAATGGAGTTCAACGCCCCTGCGATGCTTTTTCACAGGCTTTCGCTCTCTGCATTTAAGAATACACAAGTTGTTACGTGTGAAATGATTTCATGAGAGGCATCTGCAGGATGGCCGAGAGTGTCCATAAAAGTAATTACAAACACCAAATGAAAAAGCGTAAAAAGATATACAAATTATAAACAAACATACATTGATATAAAAACATTAGTGCAAAGTTGTAGAAATACAAAAATCAGCATTAAAAAAAATTACAAAATGTGTAATAACACTGTGCTTGAGCCAAAAGCAAAGGTGAGGAGCTTATCCCGCCATTTGCTCTGGGTAACTCCATCATGTCCGTACCTACCCGCAGTCCATCCGCCTACTTCTGATTATTTGTACCCTCTTGATTTGACCAGTACCTCTGTCCTTGTTGAGCAAAGTCTCAGGTTCCTGAGTTATGACAAAGATGTAAAGACTAGTTGAATCAGGTTTTGCAGTGAGGAAGTTGCCTTGTGTGAACTGTAAACAGCTCACGGTGCTTGATGCACAACTAGCAGTACAACCCCTGGAGACGATGCAGGGGTTGTTAGAGCGCTACATTAGGCTATCACATAAACTACTGTAGGTTTTGAATAATACAATGGCGGTCCCTCATTAAAAAAAAGCTTCACACGAAAGTCTCTAAAGCTTAAAATTTCATTTTCTTTGCAAATTTTGGTAATCTCTTTTAATTCTTCAGTAATTATTACTTTTTAATTCATATTTCATTCTGTTGCTATTGGGTTAAGTTTTCTAACTTCAAGTAAGGTGAACTGAAGTTGAAAAATAACATGATTTTCTCTGGTGAGAGGAAATCCTACCATGCTTTGAAGCTGTGACACCAAAACCACAACTCAAAGTACAAAAATTATGATGCTCAAGCTAAAAAAAAAGCCCAACAAAAACTACAACGTTGGTGATTTTAACCTAGAAAAATCTTCTTATTGTCATCATAAACCTCAATGTAACCTTGAAGCAGCCAGCCATTACTTCACCAGATCAGCGAAAGAGACACTGCTGCTTCTTCCTTTCCTTTCCCACCAAGTTATTTTTGCTCTGAGTTACACAGGAGCAGGGATTCGGATGGGCGAGGTTTCTCCATCAGAGGAACAGTTTCTTCAGGCGATGTGAGTCCTCCATGTTAGCACTTACTCACTGGAAAGTTCAAGCTCCTGAGTTTGTTTGGTTGTAAATTCAGCCTGGCAGTGTCTGAGCTGGTTTCACAGAGACGTTTGATTATTTTTTTTTTGTTTAATCACGTGAAGGAGATATTACTCTGCTGTACACAGGTAGTTGGTATTTTATTGCTATAACGACTGGGAATTAATTTCTCTGATTGTGCAGCAGTGTATGTAGGCAACAGCATGTGCTCTAAACTTCAGCCACTAACTATCGTAGGTAACAGTGTTTCTCCTGCTACACTAATCACATGATTAACACTTACTTGGAAATGTGCTCATTTTTTAGAAGAGAGGGAGTTAAAGGAAATAATCCCAATCCATCACTTCCTTGGAATGCCTTCGGCTGTGTGTGTATGAGTGTAGTTGTGCAAAATATGTCCGTAGGGGCGCGTTAGGTATCTTACAGTCAGTAGCAAGAGGCTGGATCTTTTTCTTGGACTGGGTTGAAAGGATGGCACACTTTGGCAGTGATGAGTCTTGTCATTTTTTTAAGAGTGACGCCATCACTGCCAGGGCATTTTCCTGGACCCTTCCCTGTCCTCCAGCAGCTCGACAGTTGGGGTGGGAGCTGGGGTGGGGTTGGGAGTGGAGTGGCAGGACGGCTGAAGAGGCAGCGTGGCTGTGGAGGACGACACCGGCATGTCCAGGCTCTCCATGGAGTCAGAGAGGGCTCGGTTGGTCTCGTGTTGCGGACAGAGGACGTAGCGGTTGGGGTGGTGGACCTCCACTGTGGTCACAGAGTCCAGGCCCTTCAGGCAGAGTGGGGATGGCCCCCCAATGGGGTCGCGGCCGCCGACGGCCCCGAGCTCCATGGAGGACTCGTCCATGTTGACGTA